GAGGCAGTAAATCTTTACGGAAGTAGATTGCCCAGTCTTGCTTCCGTGGAGTGGTTAGTGGGTTTGAGCTACCAATCTTCTGGTTAGCAGTCAGATGCCTTAGGCACTGTGCTACCAGAGCTCCTTCAATCGTTACAAAGTGAGGGCAAATGTACATGTTAAAGGGCAAGTAGAAATTGTCCTTCCACTGTTCAACCTGGGCACTGCCTGTACTTTGCATGTTTTTAGAGACTAGGTATAAACACCTGCTGAAAAATGAACAGTAGAAAAAAATAACACTTATCAATGTTTGTTCTCTTCTGGACCGTGATTTTTCTTATTTATTTTGGTGATTCCAGATAGAGTTGAATTCCTCATGGTTCTGGACTTATTTCTTTAAGTCAAACACTTTCAGTCTAAGTGTGTTCAATTTCTCTAACTTCATTGACAAGAATAACAAATTTAAGAAAAAGCACAATACAGGGCAAGAAATACTACCACAGGACAAGGAGTTTAGATTTCACAGCAAATAAAGTCATATTTGATATTATAGACACATGTTCCTATTTTCATGTAAGTCACTTAACACCAAAATTACACTTTAACTTTTCCCAATTACACAATACAATGGGCCTGTCAAGATTTTTCAGGAAATAGCCATCAGTATCCATTGTGCTTGCAGCAGCCAAGACTAAGCTGGCTGAGTACCAGAAATCAACACTTTAAGTAGAATGGCATCATTAAATTACACCAACTTTTATGAACTATTACAAGGTGCATTGAAACAAACGTCATTTACTCACTTACAAAATCCTACTTCAGTCTTGTGCTGATGCTCCAAACAATAGCTATGTATATAGCCTCAAGGCAGTTTTTTGAACATCATACTACATCATTGCCAACTGATTCTCTGCAGTGATTTCTAAAGGGAAAGAAATACAATGCTACTATGTGGTACCTGCTCCACCCCAGCTCACAGCTACTACCTTGTACTTTTAGGCCAACTTTTTTTCTCAGTTGCCTAACTGAGGACATGTCCTTGGTCTCAGTCTCAATATGGAGGATGGTGCAAGTGGTTTGCAATTGGCTGCTAACCTGAAGGTTGACAATTCGAACCCACTCAGTGACCGTGGAAGAGAGGACTGGGAAACTGTTTCCATAAAGATTTCAGCCAAGAAAACTCAACGGAGCAGTTCTACTCTGTAATACACGCGGTTGCCATGAATTGGAATCAACTTCAGGGCAAAACACCACCACCACCACTTGTGTAATAAAACAATCTTGAAATGCCACCTTTTTCCAGTTGACAGAATTATGGATGCAATTTAAAATCTGATTGTATTAATCCGAAAAATTTAATGAGTAAGGATAACTCAAGAAAGTTTTCCTGTCATTACCATATGGAAACTACTAGGGAACTATTTCTTCTAATTTTGCTTTTATGGCATGAGTTCATCACATTAATAAGATGAACATTCAAAATATGTATTAGACGTTTTCTACTAATTAGCTACAAAAGCTGTGTCAGAGCCAATCATATATATGCGTATGTATCTAACAGATACTGGTTAAAATAAATAAGTGCTCTAATTAGAAAAATGAAAATCAAATAAGAGAAATAGATAAAGTAACATTTTGAGATTAACTTTTAGCACTTTGTGTTGTTAATTTAGCCCTCAATTAAAATTAACTCTTGGATTGTGATGTCAGATATATCAGTAATTAGCTTTGCCTCACATAAAATACCAATATCTTTAAAAGTTTTACCAGGCTTAATGATGTAATTCATGCAGAGAAGGCAAAAAAATATGCACACTGCACATTTGCAATTACTTTCTTCTAGAATTTACAATTTCCTCAAGTATTTCATGTGAAACAGGTTACACTTTCTTGTTGACTATCCTTGAAAAATATTAAAAACAGCATGCACACTTCTAATCTTTCAAAACAGTTAAATTAAATCCCAATGTCAGACATGTTAGGTTTATACTTCTGGTCTGTAAAGCAAAAATTTACCTAAAATTTATTGTTGCTTTTTTGGTTAATTCCACATAATGCAGATTGTTATAACTGAATACATAAAATGGATGTCAAAGTTGACTTTTAAAGGGATAGTAAATTTTTTTTTTTAAGATAATTACTTCTCACACATTTAAACTCTGTAGCATTTATCTCAAGATGAAGCTTTTTAGAAGTCCTGAACTTCTGCCCAACTCAAAGATTCAAGTCCAGGTTTTCAAGCAATAAAGTGAAAGTGATGAGATTTATGAAAAACTGTACCATAAGGTTAAAATAGTATTAATAAATATACTTCAATAAAATACCCAATGGTCTAAAGGACACAGCTGTCTTCCTAAAGTTTACTCAGTTTTTTTCCTCCCATATTATTAACTCTTTTAAGGTTTGTACTGGGGCCCTTATAGTTACTTTTAAAGTACGCTCATAACACTCTAACTCATAACTTATTCTTACTACTGGTTCTCAAATCAAGAGCGATATTCCAGTGCATATTTTCTGGCTATCCTGCATAAGCAATATTTGAAGATTTCTGGGGAAGAGTACTGACAATGGGATTTCAAGATGACATAAGTATTTACAATGAGCTTCTGACTCAAGAAATGGTTTTACACTTCAGAGATCATACCTACTTTTCTGGTGATAAGTAAGACATTATGAAATATAATAAAACTTTTAAGTTACAAGGTGCCCAGAAAGAGCATTACTCTAATCACGCACAATGTAGGTGCATAACGTGATGTAGCTATTGCCATGTACTAAGGGATCCCATGCCATGAGGGACTGTTGAGTCAAGGTCATTAATACTAAGCAATGGCAATCACTGGGCAAAACAGCCCTTATGAAGAATCTGAATTCAGAGAACAATGGCCTTGTATTTCTTGATAAACTTTTTTTTTCTAATCCAAGGGTATTCCACCATTACCTTCTAATCAATGATGATTATGCTCATGGACATGACCTCTTCATAGGAGACGGTAGGCTGGTGGAAAAATACCAGCAACCAACCAGTTTATCCCAACACAGCTCTCTTTACCATTTCAGAAATGTAATTACAGAGCAGTCACAAAATCAAGCCACGAAAGCAAGGCTTTCAAAACATGCTAGTAAGTAGGTCTTTGCAATTTTCATCATATTTCCTCCTCTGCATTGCATTTTTTGTCATGACAAATGAAAATAGTAAGATTATTAAATCTGAAAAGTCATAGATGTCATGGCGATATAGAATACTTGCTCATTTCCCCTCCTTTATCGTCTAGAAAAGCCCCATTTCTGTAAACCACACTTCATATGAAAACTTCAACTAGGTTTCTTTTAAAATGAAAAGTGAACAAATTCACCACCTAAGTTATATGTGCTGGCCACATAAGATCTTTGTATAATTTCACAATATTGACCTTAGAAAATACATAGAGATGATTAAATTCAAACCAGATAACTCTTACTAGGAGCTACTTCAGTCACTGATTTTTGTAAAATAAAGAAAATAAAACTCCAAAAGGCATTTGCATTTGCAAGCACTGGACTGTAGAATTCATGTTCTTGAAAATGCAACCGGACCGGAATGAAATGATGGTAATCTTAAGAGGTTCAAAATTCACAAAGTGATTCCTACTCGTATTTTGTTCTTCTATTTTTATCATTTCAAAAATGTCAATACTGCTCACCATAAACCACTGAATATTATTTTCTGTTTATTCCATTTATTTATCCATTGATTCAGATGACTTTGACTGGGAGGAGCTCTATGTACCAGTGGAAAAGTTGAGTCATTAAAAATCCTCAATGTTTTAAACACTTGGTTAGAAAAAAGGTAACAACTCCTTATAATTATCTAGCACATGTGCTTTATGGTATCTTTTCAAAATGAGAATATAAATCATTGTACATAAAATCAAAAGAGTTAATTACATTTTTTCTGGCACTTTTCTAGAAATTAAACAGTAAACATAAAACATTTTATAAATTTATATAACAAAAATAAATGTTTACATTTTATTCTTATATAGATTACCTTAGGGTAGCAGTTAACTTAAGAAATTCCACACTGTTGGTGTAGGCAGCAGAGATCATCTGAAACACACATTTGCGTCCACAGCTCTTCTGAGATGGACGGCATGACTGCCATCCAAATATGTGGTCTGTGTTCCAACATAAAGATTAAGGCTGTTTTGAAGAAGTGAAATCTGGGCTAAAATAAGTACAGAAGTACCACAATACTCACTGAAAATACTGAAAATGCTCTGAAGAGTTTTAAAATACTGAGGGAAAAAACAAACATTTTGACTAGAAAAATAAAATAAAACATCTAAAGCTGACTTCAAGTACTTTGGAGAGAGGCTGCTGACACAGAGTATCAAAGTAGAACAAAGAGCTAGAGACTCAAGTGATGGCCCCAGTCCTATCCACCTGCAGGGTTCAGATTTCCAGGCACCAATGGGGGCAGCTCTTCGAAAAGGATTGGCGAGCTGGGTGGTAACAAGTAACAACAGTTTCTCACCATCTGAAGATGTCTAAATTGAAGGCAAGAGTCAAATCTTGTGAGAAAATTTCCTTGGAATGAACCATGTGAATTGGAAGATTTTGAGGGTAATAAAGACACACATTTTGAAGTTAGTAGTAGATAACAAAAAGAAAGAAAGAGAGAAAATCCTGGATCTTCTGAATGGCACTAGTTAGGCAGGTGGTGTAGCAGTTCTTGATGAGGGGCAGCTCTTCCTTATGTTTTGATGTTCCTCAACAGGAAGAAACCACTGTCAGGTTGGGTGCTTTGCAGAGGGTGAGGAGGGTATGTGATGTGCGTGGGTACGTGTGCTCCCCGAGCAGGCAGGAGTAAATCTGAGTGCACCTCACTTTTTCAAAAACTGGGAAAACAGTCATGGTTTTGCCAATGGTCTCTGTACTAAAGCAGCATATAAAGGATAGGTTTATATCACTCTGATCTTCCAGAAAAGGAATGTCCCCAAACAACTGACATGACATTTGGAGTTCTGTCTTTTGGGTTGCTAGAGTCTAGTGATATCTCTGCACTGCTGCAAGTCCCCAATGCTCTCGTAGTCATTCTCCTTTGGGAAAAGACCATGTGGACCACTGGTCTCCTGGGTGGCCTTTTCTTCCTCTCTGTTTAGAGTCTGTATCGCTTCATAATCCGGCTCTGGCTGCTCGCTGGGTCTCTCTGCTGGTGGAGGTGTGCTGACGTTGTTTTGAGTTTTCTCAAAGTCTTTTACAGTAGCATAGAGATCGTTACAGGAAGATGGGGATCTCTGAGGGGTTCCATCTTGCATGCAAGTATAGGTGGATTCTGGCACTTTAAGCGACTGTCCTGATTTATTTGCTGACTGTCCGGTTTTATTCACTGATGAGTACATGGCTGAAATCTAGAAAACAGAGGGCTAACTGAATAAGCATACTCCAAGCTGTGACTTTCTTTCTCTCCATTTTTAGTGACAAACTAGACTTAGCATGTGTGTATGTCCTCCTTTAAGATTTATTTTTAGTTTCTTGTATTAATCTGGGGTATATTAATTAAATACACAATCAATTATATACATTATCTTCAACTATGTAACTGTATTCTACTTTTTTAAAGATAGTTTTGAGATATAATTCATATGCCATACCATTTACCCACTTAAAATGTACAATTCAATGGTTTTACTATGTTCACAAAGTTGTACAACCATCACCACAATTTTAGAACATATACTTTACCTCAAAAAGAAACCTCATACTCCTGAGCTGTCACTCTCCTACCACTTATTGCCCCCAGTCCTAGGCAATCACTTTCTTCTTTCTGTCTTTATACATTTGGCTATTCTGGATATTTCATATAAAGGGAATCATACACATGTGGTCTCTGTGACCGTTTTTTTTTTTCACTTAACATTATGTTTTCATAGTTCATCCAAGTCGTAGCATGTGCCAGTACTTTATTCCTTTTTATGACTGAAAATATTCCATTGTTCAGATACTCTGGTAGCATAGTGCCTAAGACACTTGACTGCTAACCAGAAGGCTGGAAGTTCAAACTCACCAGCCACTCCTCGGAAGGAAGGTTGGGCAATCCTACTTCTGTAGTGATACTGCCTCAGAAACCCAAGGAGGGTCGCTATGAGTCAGGGCCCACTCAATGGCACATAGCAACAACAACAACAACAACTTATGAGATTCTCTTTCCTTTGGTAAGAGAAGGGTATTTCCCATGCCCACTATACCACTTACTCTCTCTCACTAATACATCCTGTATAACCTCTAATATGAAAATGGATTTAATTTCCTATTGTTAACAACAGATCAAATGCTAGTACTCTTTTTTTAAAAATTATGTTTATTGTTAGAAATCATGACTGGAAATTGGCAATTATCTCCTTCATTACCTATGCTTATTTTTGCAATAGTGAGTAAGTCATCAAAATACCCAGGAAATAAATGAACATGCTTCCTGTCAGACACCTGGCTTCCCACTACCCAGGGACATTCCTGCTTTCACATAGCTCACATACTGTCACAAACTGTGGAAAAAGCTTTCAGCTGGCTTCTGAAGCTTCTTAAGACAAGCTGGCTACACTATTAACTGGTTATTTGCATGACAATGTGTGGCTGAGTGGCCAATGGTGGCTCAGTTTTTAAATTAATTAAATACTGTTTTGTTGTGGTAAAATATACATAACAGAACATTTGCAGATTCAACTTTTTTTTTTTTGCATGTACAATTCAGTGACATTGGTTACATCCATTATGTTGTGCAACCATCACCAATATCTGTTTTGAAATTATTCTACCACAATTAACAGAAATACCCTGGTGGTGGTGCAGTTTATTTTTATTTTTTATTGTGATTTGGGTAAAAGCATATAGAGCAAATTTGTTTTCCATTCAACAGTTAATATACATTTTATTCCATGACATTGATTGCAGTCCCCATAATGTAACAGTTCTCTTCCCACTTCTGCCCTGTGGATTACCTTTACCCTGTGCCATTCTTTCCTATGCATTCCAGCTCAGTTTTTCTAGTCCTTGACAATCCAAGCATTAAAAGTCATAGAAATAATCCTCGGAAAACTTTTGCCAAGTTGATCTGACTGTTCTAATGAATATCAACATTCTCAGCTTAGAGGTTTTAATGTAGAAATGGTGCTCAAGTTAGAACTGTAATATAATTTCTTTGAATTTAGGAAGAATTAAAATAAAAACAACAAAACATTATTTTTCATAGTGACAAGCAAATGTATGGAACTCATTATTCCAAGAGGTAGTCCAAGCCCCAAATGTGGCCAGATTACAAATGGTAAAATCATGGATGATAGTGATGAGGGGGCCCACCTTTGAGGATACATAACAGAGCACAAACACATCTTCACCTAGATTGTAAAAGGAGATGTGCCCCTCATAATTCTGTCTGTCTGTCTCCTCTACTTCCTTCCTCATGGTTCTGCCATTCACGCTTCCCACTCTTTGTAAGTATCTTGTGTCTTCTTGGCCTTCATATTTTATTATTACTATAGGCTTTTTCATTAACCTGCAACTTAATATGATTTATAAGCTTAGACCTGCTGTGCGGAGGATATAATAATATATTTCTGCTTTTTAAAAAAAAGCTTTTCAAGACTTCTGATATTCCTTTTGAATATTTATCTTCTATGATTGTTATTTCTAATTTGTATACAGATTTCTCTTCAAGTTCCCTTGCTATTTAACTTCTCCTTTTTTCTCTTCTTAAAATCTTTCATCTTTATTACTTACTCTGTCAATTGTTATTATGTTCTCATAGAAATTACTCTCTATTTTCTTTTCTTTTCATAATCAATCCTTTCTCCATCATTCAATTGAATTAGAATAATTGTACTTAAAACTCAATTCCCAGTTTTTGTCTGGATTGTCTATTATTACACTATGTGAATATAAAATAAATGATTTCCATATTGATTTTCCTAAATCTCCTTCTTAATCTATGTGAATTATAGTTCTTTATTTTATATTAAAAATTCATTAATATAAATATATCCAATTGTCAAAAGCAACTAACAAATGTTAGATAAGAAGAAACAATTTAAAATTTTACATAGTTTCATTTTATTTTTAAGGATTAGTTTCCAGGTCTCCTATGTATTTTACTTTTTGGTTGCTCATGGGATCAAGATCCCTTAACTGGCTTAACCAAAAACCAAACCTGTTGCCACTGAGTCAATTCTGATTCATGGTGACCCTATGTGTTATAGACTAAAACTGCTCCATAGAGTATTCTCAGCTGTAATCTTTATGGAAGTACATCACTGAGCCATTTTTTCTTGGAGCTGTTGAGTGGGTTTGAACCACTAACTTTTAGGTTTAGTCAAGCACAAACTGTTTATGCTAATCAGTTGGCTTAGTTGGTCCTGATTTATGTTTTTTTTTTTTTTTTTTAAGATAACTCTGATTTATAATGTGGAGGACAGACTGACTAGAAAGACAAAAGGAGCTGCCAAGAGACCTGGTGGGAGGGACTGTTGTGGTCTAGCAGGGGCTGGCTACAGTGGAGACAGAGAGAGGTGGGTGCATGAAAGAAAAAATTTGGAGTAGAATGGAAGCTTGGTGATTGCCTGGGTATGAGGGCAGTGAGGAAAATGGGTGTCAAGGGTTTTGGCTTGTGTAAAAAGGTGGAAGGATAGCAGATCCATGACCTGGGGCAGGGAATGTGGAAGCAGGTAGCAAACATCACCTACAGAAAGCACTTCTGCTACCTGAACTTTCAATGTGGGACTGTCCTCTATCCTCACATTTCAATACTTTACTTGGACACAAGAAGTGATGAATCTGCATTTATACATTATTTTTCACACATACAAAAATTTGCTATGATAGGAACCCAGCTGTATGTGGCTATATGTGGCTAGATAAATTAAGGTGTTCATGTCTCTGTCTGTATCTAGCTTGATATAATAACATATCTATTGGCTGTTAACAATTTTAATGTTTCATTGAGAGTTCACTAGTGAATGTTTACCTCTGGTGCTGGGCAATATGCAATCCTTTCTTGCTGGCTGTATGTCTGACCCTATCTCCAGCCTCGAAATGACTTCCGGAAATTACCTGCTCTTTGAATCCATAAAACTGCACTAAGCTTGTCCCTCTCTCTCTCTCTCTCTCTCCCAGGCTGAATCAAGTTCCCTATGCCCACATGTCCCAATTTCCTGTATTTTCTAACTCATTTTTTACTTTCTTCTAATGTGGTCTTCCTGACTGCTAAGGCTCCCATACTGAAATTACTCTTTTCTCATTCCCATTTTTTCTCTTTCCTTTCTCTTCCCCCGCCCCCCATCCCTCCTTCCTACTCAGTTTCTTTTACTTTGCTGATCTGTTCCCTCTGTCTTCCTCCTGGCTTATTCTCTGCCAGTCACTCTCACTCTGAGCCATTATAAAGCCAATACCCCCAAACTTTGAGAATATTTTCACATTCTCAAACATAAGAGAATATTTTAGCTTTTTCAGACAAAGGGTAAAATTACAGTATATTTATTCAAAGACAGAAGCCCTATTCCTTATTACAGGAGCTTTCTGGTTATTTCAAAGAAACAGAACTTACCTCTTCCTCTGTAAGAGTTGGGTCTTCTTCCCGGGACTTGTATGACAGTGAACTAAATCTCTGTGAGAATAAACAGAAAACCAAAGGAGTCTGAAGTTATTCATTCAACCTTTCTTTTACACATTTTTGATGTGCTTGTTAAACTGTTTTCAAATGATTTTTTTACACATTTGGGATTTAACCACAAAGAAATATGAAGCATTTGAGAAAGAAACACTTGTAAAATCTATCGTATGATTTTTTTATACACCTAGCAGTATTATACTTACAGAAATTTCTTCCAATTTTCTCTTTGAATCTGTAGGTCAAAATAAGCCAAATAATTACATAGGCTACTGTTTTCAATTCTTACTCTTCCCTGAAGGATTGATCATCAATGAAGAATTGATATTAAAAAAAATCTTTCTAAAAATCATTTGCCCAAATTCTGTATTTCTACAGTTCATATTAGTCATTAAGAAGATCCTTACGTCACTGGACATTTTTCAGAGCTAATGGAGAAATCAGCTTACATTCTGTGAAATATTAATGTGAAGGAACATGTTGATTGTTCAGTGTTCCTTGTGGGGTAAGGATATTCTACAAGATAATTTTCAATTTGCTGCGAAGAACCAGTCTCTGAACTGCTGGAAAGGGAACAAGGTGAAGCTGAAATTCGGAAACATATCTAATTTGCTCTGTAAAGGAAATTGGATTCTGAAATCTTCATAGAAGGGGACAAGAGTCACACTTCATGTCAGGATTGAAATACCTTTTAGGGCATCTAGTAACACCCCCTCCCACCCAAAATAAATTTGTTCTGGTGAAATAAGGGTTTATTTAAATCTTCCTAGATGTAAATAAAACAAAACCCCAATATAAACATTTTTAGACTTCCCCCAAAAGGCTCTTCCTTTGGTAAAACATTCTTACATATTTAACTACTCTTCTACCTCCCAGCCGTACCCAGCTCAAGGGATTTTCAAGTCCTATCATTCTTGTTCTAGCTTAGTGGAAATCAAAAATCTGTTTACTGACTCAGAGAGAGAATTTAAAAAATTGGGACACAGAGAAGAATTTGTTGAATTTTTTCTAAGAATTAAAATCATGAAGGGTTCTCTCAGTAAAATAAATTGAATGTGTAAATCTGGTCAACTTATTTGGTAAATATGTTGCACACATTTGGATAAACTAGACCCCAGACAATTTTCTCTTGGTAGTCTAAGGAAAGGAGTGTGCAGGCAAGTCAGAAGGGTTGTTTCCAAAGTCAAATTATGCATAGGATATGAAACAACATAGCATGAGGATGGATGGCTGTCAAATACAGAAAGGAGACCCAAACACCTTGAGATAAATGGTAAGAGGATGGCTCTTGATGATGTTTGGAAAGCCTATTGATTTGAAAGGCTAAGCCTGAGAAAATTCTGGATTTGTTGCAAGCAGTGGCTTCAGACCAAAGGAAAGTCCTAATGTCAGAACATACTGTGTTCTGAGCTCCACATTTTGGGGTGACCCAGTTGATTGCACATGAAGTTGAAACTCATAAACACTACTTAAATATGAACAGAATTGTACCTAAGGTAAACACAGTGATTTGAGATAAAACTGTAAAGTTAATATTGAACTACAGACCCCAGAATATTATGAGAAGTTTTTTTTTTTTTCACTTACCAAATAAAATAAAATGCTTAAATAATTCATGAATTACACAAATATCTAGATGGACAAAGATGAAGACAACATGTTTTTTTTTGTGATGTCACAAATGGAACAGATGGCATACTGGCAGTGAAAGTTAGCATTAAAGTCCTAAATTGGTTTTCTTTTGATTGTACAATTCACTCCAGCCTACTTACTAAAGACTACTGATATAGCCCGAATTATTAAATGTATCCATTTACTTGTTATTGTTGTTATGTGCCATTGAGTTGGACCTGACTCATAGAGACCCCTCCTTGGGTTTCCCAGGCAGTATCACTACAGAAGTAGATTGCCCCATCTTCCTTCTGAGGTGTAGCTGGTGGGTTTGAACTGCCAGCCTTCTGGTTAGCAGTCAAGTGCCTTAGGCACTACACTACCAGAGCTCCCATCCAATTACTTACTACTTTTGAAAGGATACCACAGTTCTATCTTTTGAGGCTAGCCCTGGACATATGTTGGGGAAGTCTATGCAGGTAAGCTCCGGCAAGATCTGCTGTTGCTTCAGCTGAGGTCCACTTTCCCTCTGAATAGAAGTTAAAATTAAAAGTGGCCCTGCTGGTATCATTATTTAATTAATTCTTCAAAGTGTTAATCATATCAGTCAAGTGCCTGTCAACATAAATAGAGTTCTTTCTTAGAGTGGTTTGAATGGCAAATTAGGTTTAAGGGAATACTTTTCTTTGCAAGAATATCTAGGAAAGATTTTTTTAAAAAACAATTTGTATTGCAAAATGCACTTAGATAATATCCTTGAGCTCTCAAGAAATGCCAGATGCTTTACATCAGGTCCAATACGAACAAGTAAGTTTATTAAGGTTTTGGATGAATATACATATATATATATATATAAATTAAACATGCCCTAGAAGGAAGGTTGGGCAATCCTACTTCCATAGTGATACTGCCTCGGAAACCCAAGGAGGGGTCGCTATGAGTCGGGTCTGACTCTACAGCACATAAAAACAACAACAACAAGGCACTATTAACACATTCTGAGGAAAACTAAAAAATTCCAAGGAAAAGCTAAAAAAGTATGCAAATTGTGCAAAATATGAGATATGTAAACTTGGCATATGCCAAACAATTAATTTTGGATATGTGAAAAATTTTAATATATCTACAAATTTAAAATAGTGTTTATACCTTATATAAAAGGCCATAGTTTACATTTTTTTACTTCAGTATATATCTGTAGTCGCTTACCTATTTTGGCTTCACTTTACTGCACTAACGAAAGCTTGGCTCTCTCCTGAGAGCACTGCTTCTCCAATACTCCTCTCCAAGTGGTTGGTTTTCCCCTCGGATCCTTGCACCAGTGGCCAGACATGGCCTCAGTCATTCCTAGTCCATCTTTCCTCCCTTCTCCCCTATTACCCCTCGGTGTGCCACTGACCTGTATCACCTATTACCCTTCATCCCTGGCTGGTTCTCCCTCCTCTCCATTTCTCAATGACTTTGGCTCCTCATTCATTGATTCTCTAACTCACTTCCCGTTTTAATTCTTGGTGATTTCAACAAATGTGTATCCTTCCAAACCGAGAGTAAAAGGAGGTGATGGAGTGAGTTATGCACATTCTTTCTCTTACTACATTATCTGATCTTTCAACATATCTCTCATCACTTTCATGGCTCTGCCCTGATTCAATCCACCATCATCTTGTCTGGTTTACTGGAATTGCCACCCAATTGGTCTGCTTGCTTCTGACCTCGTCCTACCACAGTACTACTGTCTAGTACCTACACTATAGTGCGAGTGACTAGACTAGAAACATGGGCTGGCTTAGGGCATTCTTCTGCTCAGACTCTCTAATGATCCCATTTTATTCAAATGATAAGACAAGCCCATAATGGCTCGAGCCCCTGGTTGCTTGTTTCCTTGCTACTCTTATCCTTGTCTTTTCCTCTCTGGCCATACCAGTCCCCTTCCTCTTTCTTGGACAGGCCAGACATCCTCTAGCTTTAGGGCCTTCACGCTGGCCATTCCCTATGCGTCCTTTACTCTTCCTCAAGAATGTGCATATCTTACTCCATCACCTCCTTTTACTCTTGGCTCAAATGTTACCTTCATAGTCAGGCACACCCCGACACCCCCCCCCATTCAAGCTTGTGTTCCCACTGTTCTTTCCCAATATCCCTTATTTTGTTCTATTTTTCCTATAAAATTTAAAACCTTGAAAAATACCATATAATTTATTTCTGTATCATGTTTATATTGATCTTTCTCTACTGAAGTGTAGGCTCCACAAATGCAGGGATTTTTATTAATTTATGTTTTGTTCACTAGTTCCTAGAACCTAAAAGACTGCATGGCACATAGTAGGTGCTCATTAAAATCTTCTTATTGAAAGAATGAATGAACATTAAAACATTTCCAATTCTTTGAATGACTTAAAATTAGGTTTGTTTATGTGGAGATGATGGATTTTTCATTTTACTATGCTGTAGAAAGTTAAACTTGTTCCTATATTGTTTCCAGTTTCTCATGAAAAATTTGGAGAACTGCTTACTAGAAGTGATTAACCAATTGCCTCTGTTATCTTTCAACTGATTTTAAGTAAAAGCTTTGACTGCTTTAGGCAGCATAAAGTCTAAATCTGTTTTGTTATCTTTGGTTATGGGAAGGGCAGAAAATTAGACTGTAGCTTTGCATTCTATGAATGGGCTCATAAACACTTTTATTTGAAATTAGTTTACATTTATCATAAAAAGACAGGGCTCTCAACAGTGGATTTCATGTATAATATGAACAGTTGAACTATATTCTCCGAACATTGCAAAGAACAACAATTAAAAGAGTGACTTCCTTGGTACAACCTATGCAACCATAACTGAGGGTCACCTTTTGTTTATGAACTTCAGAAGTTTTCTAATGCCACTGATAACCACTGCTTTCTTCTCCTATCAAAACTAGAGTAGAAGAGAATTTTGATGTTTTTTGTGTAGAGAAGAGAAATTACATACTAGTGTTCTGACAGACTGTTGTTGTTGTTGTTATGTGCCGTCGAGTCAGACCTGACTCATAGTGACCCCTCCTTGGGTTTCCGAGGAAGTATCACTATGGAAGTAGATTGCTCCACCTTCCTTTTGAGGAGTGGCTGGTGGGTTTGAACCGCCAGTCTTCTGGTTAGCAGTCAAGTGCCTTAGGCACTTGGACGTTTTGAGAATTGGAGATGTGAAGTTCAAGTTACTGTAGCTCACATATCAAGTTGTCAGACACACAGAGAGAAGGCTTATGTATGCTTAACACATGCTAGAGCTTTGTTGAATGTCTAAATTTAGTAGGTATAGGTTATTGTTTACAAAGTGACGAAAAGTAAAACTACTTACTTGATTTATATAAAAGCATATACAATAGGGAGTTTCTGGTGGTGTAAATGGTTAACACACATGGCTATGAACCTAAAGGTAGGAGGTACAAGTCCACCCTTAGGTGCCTCCAAAGAAAGGCCTGGTGATCTCTTGCTGAAAAATCAGCCATTGAAATGCTATGGAGCACAGTTCTACTCTGATACACATGGGGGTACCATGAGATCAATTCACAGGCAACTGGTCTATATATAATAACATATAACCAGTGGAACCTGTGTATTGGTTCACTCTTGACATGCTTCATGCTTTTATTTCTGGGATAAAGGTCACCACACTTGAGGAAGCAAGACACAAACCAAACTCACTGTCATAGAGTTGATTCCACCTGAAAGCAACCTTATAAGGCAGAGCAGAACTGCCCCATAGGGTTTCCAAAGCTGTAAATGTTTATGGAATGCCTCATCTTTCCACATGGAGCAGCTGGTGGGTTCTAACCACTGACCTTTTGGTTAGCAACCCAACGCTTTTAACCACTGTACCACCAGAGCTTCTTTGGCAAGACACAGAAAAGGCTAAAGGTGTGGCAAAGAATACAGTGTCTCTACTTAATTCTTGGTCTTTGAAATGCAAAAAATACCTTTCCTTATTTAGACTTGATGTAAAAATTGAAAAATAATCCAAGTAAGGTGCTGAGAGAGAAATATTTTAGAAACATGAGTTTTCACTATTTTATTACTTGAGAGGAGAAAGAGTCAAACCCAGCTTATATTAAAACAGCTTTCATCATTCAACAAATTGGGAAGTGTTTGGATATATTTCCCAGAACAATTTGCAAATAAAAGCCCCAAGAGGAACTAGATTTCTATTCATGGCAGAACACACAAAAGAGAAAAGCCAGGGCCCACCTTGTTGGTTTCTGTGGTTCCCTCGGTGGCACCTTCTTCTTCTGCCAGTCTTTCTTCCTGCTCCTGAAGGTTTTCATTCTCATCTAGAAGTTTAACAGGGACAGGAGGAGGGGCCTCCTCTTCTGCATCAAGTGAACTTCCAAGAACAATCTCTGCATTAACACTCTGTCGGCACTTTTTGTTTCTGTCCACTGAGGCATATTCAGCAAAGTCTGCTTTGCCCTGGGTCTGGGGCTCTGGAAGCTCCTTCAAGGTGGAAGTAGACTTGGACTTGCCATTGTGGCCTTTATCTGGGTGTGTAGTTGCCTCCTTAATTTCTTTCACTGTTTCATACAAGCAGTCCTCTACCATATTTTCTTGGGAGGAACTATCCTTGAGCACTTCATATGGGCCTTCCATTCCCAGACCCTGGTCCCCATCCACATTTCTTGTATTGAGCATCGTGTCCACTGTGCTGTTAGGAGGAATTCTGGGCAACTCCCGACTCTGATGACATTTTGAAGGCCTCCCTGTGCTGTCCTGAGAGTCCAGCAGATCAGAAGCTGAGGTCTGTACTTCCTCATAATGCTGCATACATGTCATAGTACTGTCTTCTGAAAGAACTAAACCAGCAGAAATATTAAAAGTAGAGAAGACCACTCCTTAAATAATCATTGCAGCGAATCAAATCATGTAAAGTTAGATTAAATAAAGAGGTTTAATTTTTATTAGACTCTAGGCTGCAACTCATAGATGCATGACTAACTGACAGTTGATAGTCTTATTTCAATCACTTTTTAAGCCAAAGCTGTCTATTATATCTTTCCAATACAATATTTAATAAGCTACCTTGGCTATAAATTGAGTCCACAGTTACTTCCATTACTTATTGCTTTACCCGAGGAGACCTCTTCTGGGCAGAGTGTCCAATATGGCCAGAGGATGAAAATGATATTTGATGGGGCTAAACGGTATGAGGCTAGGCACCCAAAAAGGCAGCCTATGTGGTGGTCACTCTCCCTGACTCTACTGACCACTGTCTGTTTAGGGGGAATAATTGTCACATAGCCCCTTTCAAAGATCACTTTCATTTGGCAGACATACTGGAAACAATTGGGCAAACATGTACCCTTAAACCAGTATTACAAAGGGACCCAGTATCCTATGTTCCCCTTTAAGGGTCTTTCTCATTGCACCCTTCTCCCCCCAATATTTCTATCTCAAATTAGAAATCCCTAATGTGAAATCCATGGATTGCCACAGGAATGTAATTGTGTGAAGCAATTCTGTTATCCCTTTATCAAATATTTTTGAGTGTCTACTATATGCCAGGGATTGTTCCAGGTGTTGAAGAGGCAACATTAAACAAACAAACAAAAAAGAGTCCTTCCTGCCCTTATGGTGTTTACATCATGGAAAGTAAGTTACTAAATGACTTTGTCTCATTTTAGGGGGACTAGAAATAGTGTCTCTAAGGGGGACTTGGAAAAATGATAATGGATCACTTCACTGTTCTGAATTTACAAGCACCAGCAGCACTGTATTCTAAGTACAGAATCCTTATGGAGGCAGGTGAACTTTGCCCCTGGATCTACTCCTCTGTGTCACGGTAGATGGGGAAGGGCAATGGAGTCCAAAGAATTAGTTGTCAATACTGATTGCCCCAGTTTCCTCGTCAACAAATTGGAGTAAGTTACGACCTCCTGCCTTCAGTGAAAGTGTTTTGTAACCTGTACTGTGCAAAGCAATGTAGTTATGACATTTGTGAGTGAGAGCCTACTGTGTATTAAACAGGCAGAGTAGTTCACAGCATGACCTCAGGGCTCAGATTGCCTGGTTCAAACATCTCAGGAAATGTAATTAACCACTTTGTGGTAGGAAGAAAAATAGACACCCCAAATATGCCCATCTCCTACCTGCTCCTACATGGCAAGGGAACACTACAGTTAAAGATAGAACTTAAGGTTGATAATCAGCTGTGTGGTAGTTAAATTTGTATGTCAACTTGGCTGGGCTTGGTTGAGTGGCTGGGCAGCTGGTGGCAGTTATTCTCCATGATGAGACTGGCAATCAACTCCATGGTGGGATCTACCACAAGCAGCTAAGTAGCTGCCTTTGGGATATGGTCTGCTTCCTGTATATGAGGAGAAGCCTTGGGGATAGTCTCTAGCTTATGGCACCTTGAATCCTGCATGTAGCTGTGTTGTTGTTCAGCAGCCTGCCATGCTCTCCTGACTTTGGGACTTACACTGGACTTGAATAATGGCCTGCCGTGTGATTTGGTAATAGCGGGACTGTGCCTTTCTACTTGTCAACCTTGGGCTTGGCAGCCTCAGCAGCCAGCAGCTGTCTGAGTGAAGAAAAGCCTCTAGCTTCTGTGGGCTGGGATCAGGAGGCAGAGCTGGACTCCAGAGTTGAGGTGCTTTCACCCAGCCCCTAGAGCCTGGCACTTTGAACTTGGACTTAAAGCCTTCAAACTGTAAGAGAATAAACTCCTGTTTGTTCAAGCCATCTCATTTGTGGTATATTCCTATCAGAGCGGCACTAGGTAACCAGAACAAGCTGACCTTGAGATGGGGAGTTTATGTTGGATTTTCCTGGTGGGTCCAATGTAATCATAAGGATTCTAATGTATTTATCAGAGGAGGAGGCACCAGAGTTAGTCAGAGAGGGCTTTGAAGATGCTACCCTGCTAGCTTTGAAGACAGAGGAAGGACCCACCAGCCAAGGAATGTAGGTACCATCTAGAAGCTAGAGAAAGCAAGAAAACAAATTCTACCTTAGAGTCTCTAGAAAGAACACAACCTTGCTGACACCCAGATTTTAGACCAGTGAGACTCATTTTGGACTTCTGACTTCCAGAACAACAGGCTGATAGATTTGTGTTATTTTAAGCCACTAAATTTGTAGAAACTTCTTACAGCAGAAAAAACAAACAAACAAACAAACAAAAAACTCTTCTCTCTGTTTCTATTTCCTCTCCAATAAATTCTAGATAGAATAACTTACAAGGTTGTCAATGGAATAAATGAGTTAGGATGTGTACACTACTTGGAATAATGCTGGTACATGAAAGCCCATCAATAAGTGTTAGTTATTAGTATTACTTACAAGTAGTTGCTATTATTCATCCAAGTGAGATTATTTTTGCTAAAACTGGTAGTAATGATAAAAGTGAACAAGATCTCATTTCCCAGTTTTTGAGCTCCATTTTTCTGAAACCCACTAACTCTCTTAGGCAACGAGGCTTGTGTGAAAAGCTGGCATTGTTGCAGAACTTACTGTCACCATTGAGGAGTGCTCCATTCTGGTCACTGCTGGCAGGAGCATCAGTTGCCAGGCTAGTGATGGAACGGCTGAACATCTCCTTGTCTGATGTCTGCAAAAACAAACATAACATTGTTATGAATCTAGGTGGCATGGCAGAGAAGAATATCAGTGAAGACTATCTCTAAATATTAAAACAACAACAACAAAATAAAAATCTACTCAAGCCATAAAAGGCGTATGTAGAACACTTAAAATCTGGTTAGATTAAAGAGAAAAGTCCTCGAACTGTGCTGTCTGGTACACTAACAACTAGACACGCGGTTATTTAAATTAAAGTGGGAATGAAATAAAGTTGAAGACTGAGTTCCTCAGCTGTACTAGTCATATTTCAAGTGATCAGTGGCCACATGGGGTGAGTGGTTACTGTACTGGACAGAGAAGGTACAGGACATACCAAGCACTGAACAAAGTGCTTCTAGACCTCCTGCCCTAGAATCTTAGAGCCACTGGGAATCTTCCAGTGCCATGTGCAGAGGTTCCCAACTGGAGGTCTATACATGGCTACATGTAGGTCATGAGATATCAATCTCCTTAGTTCAAGGAGGGAACCAGAACCCCAAGGGCAGGTCCAGCAGACAGCAGCCTCATCCTTGTACCACAGGTACTGTAAAACGATATTTTTTAAAAAGGTGTACTATGACTTGAAGAACACTAAAACATCTCACTCTTTGTCATCTGAAGGGAATGGCCTTAATCTGGTCAAAGACAGATATTCCATTGGTTCCTGACTCTATTCTAAGTCTCTGCCTTCCAACCACTCAGGAAAGGATCAAATCCAGAGATGCTGGATAACATGGGAGGAAAAACATGGAACAAAATCCAAAAACTCAATAATGACCAGAATTACTGGTCAGATCGAGTCTGATGAGACCCCCCAGTACTATGGCCCTGGGACATATTCTGTGCCTGGAATAAAACTCACTTCCAGGGGCTGGCTCTCAGCCCAATAGTACACAAGATGTATACACAGACCACTCAACCTAGGCTGGCACACCCACATACTCTATGGAAATGCATCCCTTGGAGAGATGGACCACGGGGCAGCAGAGGGGCAACATTCGCACACGAGGAAATGCAGGACACACAGGAGTGCATAACTATGAGGGACACGGGGGTGGGGGTTGGGGGGGTGGCATTACTGGGTGGGGAGGGGAGGAGACTGGGTTGGGGTTTGGGATGGTAAATGAGGAGTGAAACGACTGTACATGTAATATTGAATGTAAAACAAACTCTGCTCTATAAACTTGCAGCTAAAGCACAATAAAAAAAAATAAGTCTCTGGCTTCAAGGTGCACAAAACAACTATATGCCAAAAAGCAGCTTACCAATCTTTTTATTCTTACAAACAAATTCAGGACATTTGGAGTGGACAAGATCTTGAAAGTTTATTTTCTCAGCTAGAACGTGTACGTATTAATTATAATCTAGATGAGTAATCAAAAAAACAAGTTGTCGGTTCACATATTTCTTTAAATTCCTTTCATACCAAAGGTAGACAATGTATAAATCACAACCAGGCTGCCAGCACTGAACACTGAATTAGGTTCCTTATAAAATCACGCAGTGTGTTTTCTGCTCCAAAGGTGCCATTATGAAGGGTCACAAAAGGCGAGAGCCTGACTCACTGCTAATATAATCAACTCCCTGATACTTCAAATAGAATGCATGACCTTCATGGCGCAGGAGGGACCACACAGGAGACTCCACATGGAAAGTTCTGATATAAGTGGTGGAGGAGGAGCCCAGGCTAGATGGCGTCACAAATTCTGACTTCTGGTCGGGAGTCAAACTCTAAATAATAATAGGTAGCAAATAGCTCGTGCTGTGTCACAATCCGGAAGTTTATTGGAAGTCAATTTGTTTCAGTTCAAAGCAGCCCATACTTGACGAGCACCTATGATGTGAGTCATCGTGTTAGGTTGTCAGAAACTTGAGATGCGTGGTAATCTCACAGAAATAACATTAAAAGTGGGAAGAAGGGGGACATGAAGGAGGGATGAGCCCATAACAGCACAATTAACCCAACACAGTGAAGTCACTGATCATAATTTAGGTCCTAACCACCATTTCTAGTCTGGAGTTCCAAACTGAGAAGCCAAGAGCAAGATCCCTCTTACCAGAGCTCCAGGCCTTATAGGTTAGGACTTCATGGTAGCTCCTACGGAGTAGGGGGATTTGTCAGAGCTGGTACCAGGGGCGGGGAGGAGAAGGTGACAGAGGTTTCTCTGGCCCAAGATGGGGACTCTGAAAACTGTACGAGATGTAGGAGCTTAGAGAGCAGTGCTTAAGGGAACTGTGCAGATAAGGGGTGTATGTGTATGTGTGTGCACATGCCCACTGCATACATATTCACATATGCACACTCATAAAAGAAAGCCTATGAGGAGTGGTAGTATTGTGAGAAAGAAAACAAGGAGAGGGAGGTTTCCCCTCTATAGCCAGTGTTCCTATCTCACCCAGGGATGCCACTTATCTTTAGCAAAAGAGCAAGAGCCAAAGATCTAGAGATTCTCAAACTTGCATCACCTGGGCATCAGAATTACCTGGGCATCTTGTTAAAACAGGGTTTGCTGGGTGTAGGAGATTCCACATTTCTAACAAGCTCCCACATAATGCTACTGTTGGGAGTCTCAGGACCACACTTGAGAACCTGCTCTAGAAGGAAGTGGGGAGATGGAGGGTGGGAAGCCCTTCCCTCGGCACCCACCTCATCTGACAACTGGCTGCGAACAGAGGGGTGAGAAGGAGGAAGGAGCCTGGGATCTGCATGCGGGAGAAGCAGTGGTGGAGGATCCGCACACAGCATCTCAGTACCCTGTTCTCCCGCCCCATGTCTCTCACTTCTCCTCTTGATGCCACCATTGGTGTAACAGAAGCACTATGAACAGGTGAGAAGTGGGGCCTGGGACAATCAGAGACTGAAATGGAGGGTGGGAGAAGGCAGAGTAGGGGCGGGCAGGCAAGGTGTGTGTGTTCATGTGCATCCACGCGTGTGCGCACAAAGGAAGGGAAGGAGAAGCCCAGGGGCTCTGGGGAGGAAAGGGAAGTCCTGACTACTTTCTGTCTGCTTGGACTAAAAGAGTCCTGTGCTTCTCGGGTCAGGGCAGCCTGGATGGAGCCACTCCGTGGTAAGCTCTGAGCATTTCTCTTGGCCACATATTTTACACCAGACCACATTTTATCTATTTGACTCATCCACACTTCCTTTTTGTACCTTCTTCTCCCAACCAGTTTTTGCCCAATCTTGAAAAGTGATATGGGAACAGGAAACACCTTCTCTGTTACAGCCCTGCCCAGGGCTCAGGCAGGACTCTGCTCAACCCACCCCTGTGAACATGACCGTGTGGACATCCCAAAGCAAGCTTCTGGAATTGCTCAGCCACTTCTGCTGATGCCCTGAATCTAAGAACCAGGCGGGATAGGGCTCTCGCAGGCTTCTTTCTCCTCAGCAGAGTGGATTCCCAAGGCCCACAAGGTTCTGAGGGCCAGGGAAAATCCAGCAAGGCCAGGCCAATCCTTGGGTGTTTTGGACCCACCTCTGGTTGGCTTAATGACTGGCTGGTGCTGGATAGGAACAGAGGCAAAAGAGAAACTTCCCTTTAAGAATCACTCTGGCAGGAGCACAAATGTACCAAGCATTATCAATTTTAGGAACTTTCCCAAGAAACCTGGTGAATTATATAGGCCTGAACTCTGGTGGTGTGGTGCCTAAGGCATTTGCCTGCTAACCAGTAGGTTGGTAGTTCAAACTCACCAGCTGCTCTGTGGAAGAAAGATGGGCAAT